TGTCTGGACTGGTACTTTCCTTCTGAAAGGAGTCTACAGAAATGCTCTCCAAGATAAAGGGGACACTGTCCAATTCGGCAATATTTATTAAGGATGCAAGGGAAGGCTTCAGGCAGGACAGTTCAGCAGTTGCAATTCTTTTATTTGGCATCTTTGAATTATTTTGCTGAGGGAAGAATTTTAARTGTTGTGATTTTGCTGGCAAAAATTAATTTCCTAGCTTGAGGAAGGGAATCCTTGGTGCCAAAACCCCTGAGTGACCTGTTACACCTTTGCAGTTGATGGCAGGTTGCCATTTTTCCCTGAAAGCAAAATGGTGCTGGCGTGTGAAACTGCACAATTCAATCCTTTTATACGATGATCTCATACAAAGGAGGAAAATGTCATTATAGGAAAGAAAAAAAAAATGCTGTGTTAGAATGAATCCTGTGTTTATTAGAATGTGTTCTTTTAAAGAAATGTTCTCTGCTGAGTRTTATAAAATGCTTCTCTTTTTCTATATCCCCTGTCTGTTCCTTCTTGGCATCCAGGAACAGCTACTCTGGCTCAGCTCACAATCTCACCATTGTTGGTGTAAGAGCCCTCTCCTGAGGAGAAAATGCCATCTGAAAGGGTCTTCTTGTGCTCTTCTGCCTGATCAGCTTTTCATTTGCCTTCAAATATCTGATAAAAACTTCTTCCCTCCTTCCCTTTTACCTTTCACTTACATTCTTCACTGTCACCAGTGAAAGAATTATAAGAATTACTGAAGTATTCTGAGATTCTGAATTTCAGAATTATTATGCCTAACTGTAATGGGCTGCCTAGTAATTTTTACAATCTTTAGACTTCTGCCTTCCTATGTCCCTTTCTGTATATGTGAGACCTTCAGTGACGACTGGTCACTGTTCAAAAGGAGATGAAAAATCTAACTATCTGGTATCAGCAAAAATAATCCAATTCCTTCAACTCCATTCTAATGTCTGCTGTAYTGCATGAGCACCCAGCACAAGGAACAAAGGCAGAGAATGAGATGCACCACTGAGAGCATGTGGAACACCTGCCTTGCAGTCTGCAGGACTTAAGGAGACTCAGGAGTAGCACTTGTGAAAAACTTTCAGTTACAATTGTACTTTGAAATAAAGACTAGCCCTGAATGGTTTTGAGCAGCACAGAAGTGGCAGCACCTGCAAGAAGTAACACCACCATCTTTATCAATGGTCAGTGTTTGCATTTACCTACTGCCATTCTGCTGTCATCAGGGCTGAAAGGGGAAAAATACAAACTCTTCCAGAAATATAAAACCTAATTAATTCCAGATCTTGGGTTTGGTTTTTTTTTTGTTTTTGTTTTTTTTTTGTTTTTTGGTTTTTTTTTTGTTTTTGTTTTTTTTTTGTTTGTTTTTTTTTTTTTTTTTTTGTTTTTTTTTTTTTGTTTTTTTTTTTTTGTTTTTTTTTGTGAAAAAGCAAATTACTTCTGACCCCATAGTATCCAGCCAGGGACATCTTCACACTAACAGTTACTAACTCTTTGTTTGAAAGTCCCTGAAGGTGGGAAAGGGGATTTGCCGACCTCGTTGCTACGTAAGGACATTCTGATGTAGCAATAAAGGTGCATTTCCAGTAACATCACCCCACTCATGAGCACACCTGTGATCAGCATGCTTTAGAAATAATGCCTACCATAAGGAACATGGTCATGAAGGGAAAAACAGCTCTAGCTTCCCCAGCCACACAGCAAATATTTTTGACTGAGTATCTTTTTCTCAGTTGTTTTTTATACAGCTTTTCCACTTCCTTTCCTTGGCTGGGGGCGGGGGGGGGTGGAACAGAGGAAGCAAAGGGTGGTGTTCCTCACTTCAGCCACAGAAATAGAAATATTTTGGAAGATAAAAACATAATGGTAAAACCATAAAWGGTACTAGGAATCTCAAAAATGCATACAGTCACAGCTGCTATTTTCTATTTCTGTCTAAATTTTAGGTGACACTCTTCCACAAAAGGTATGTAAGGYAGGCCTTTGTCCTACCAAATACACGAGGAGAAATTTTATACATATCCCACTAATTTATGAAAGTAGGACAAGTCTGCCACGATACAAAAACAAAACTGGAAGACTGAAAGAACGGCCAGGTTCAGAGGACAGATCATTAATCATATTTTTGGGTAGGTGATACAGTATAAATCATGCTTAAAAGAAAAGTTTAAAAAAAGTATTTTGGAACAGTTATTTCCAGAAACTCTGGATGAAACAGTGATTAATTGCAGTGTGGCAACTTGATACTCAATAGTGATAAAGGTAAGAGAGGTTTTTTTTCTGTCAGAAAACTCCGGAGTTGAAACTTTAACAATGGCATTTCATTTCAAATTYAATACAACCAGGTAAATAAACTAAATTGTAGTATAATATTGTTCTTTCTGTCTGTGCATGTTCAAGTGTACATTAAAGATTAACACTTAACAAATTATTTAGTGAATTCAATTTGCTTTTCCTCAATGCCTGTCAGGCACAAAAAATATTRGCAGCATTCTTTACTTACACATTTCTATGTTTGTCCTGCCTCTAGGATTTGAAGGACCAAGATGGTTTCTTCTCTTTAGCCCAAGCCCTTTGCTATATCAAACCTAGGTATTTGGTTAAAGAGCAGTTTCCTCTGCTTCAAAAGAATTTTTTTATTTTTTTCTTTTGCTCTGTAATCTCACTAAGAGATTGCAAGGAAAATATTGCTATGTCCTGGTGCTTCTTTTCCTTTTTTCAGAGCTGGCAGAGTTCCCTGCAACCACACACAGCAGGACTGGAATATTGCTATCCATGAAGAAGGAATTAGATACTAAATGTAGATATTAATCCTTCTCAGACAGAGGAGAGAGAACTGGCCATGACACGTAACTACAACATAAATACTTTAAAGGAAAGATAATTTTGGTATCAGTTTCTGTTATTTAGGTATTAGTTCAACTCCTAATTCAGATCCATCCTTAAGAGTTATCATGGGAGGTGTCCCAAGCAGGTTTAACAGGATCACTCAAGTTCCTCTGGCTGGGTATAAACCTAGGAACAATCTGGGACACCTGTTGTGATATCCCCTTACCAATGGGACACTTCTGAACTTTAAACACAAAAGTTCTTTGAGGAAGTGTGATTCAGTGGAAGCTCAAGGAGGCCCTGGGCACACTGCTGAGCCCTTTGGGTAGACCCTGACCCCAACAAACACAGAAACTGGTTCAACTGCTGTGCTGAGTCATGATCAAAACACAGCAGGATTTATCATTAAATAACATAGGCTGGTACACAGATAGATATAGATATTGTTAAAATAGTCGGATAATGTTAGGTGCTTTAGTCTGGAAAGCTCCACAAAGCATTGGAAAATACATGCTATTATTTTGTCGTCTTGCAAAAATCCAAAGCACCAGAAGTTTGAATGCATATTCTCAGAGGAACTGAAAAGCATTTTGGTTTTTTTCCATAGCAGTTTGTGTATTATGTAGTGAGTAGTATATGAAAGATCAGAATAATAACAAATGAAGTGGGGGAATCCTTGTTTCTGTTGTCCTTTCTCACAGAAGAAGCTCAGAACGCTGCCGAGTGCTCTACTGTTTTATTTACTTACCTTCACCCTTCCAGCTCATGAGCCTGAAGCTAACAAAGGCTGATGTCCTGCTGGGATRGGTGAGATTAAAAGTCATCACCCACCTTTTTCCCTACATGGTTAGCAACAAAAATTAAAGCATCTGCTTCCCTCAAATGCACTTGAGGGCTCTCAATCTATGGCTAACAGGAGGCAGCAGAGATTGTGCAGTGAATAAATTGCTCTAATAATTTAACTGCCTTTCTCAGAGATTAATCAATTTTTTTACTGAAAAACTAATTCCTGAATAAGGATGAGAGTCAAGCACAGAGAGAGCGTGCAATTAAAATTTTCAGTCTTACCTGTACCAGAGTTCTCTTCTCCAGTGCACAAACATTCCTCACTTTAATATTCATGTAAATATCTTTTTATTACTATTTCTAAGATGTTTGAGGTGATGTATGCAACCAGTTCAGTTCTGCCAATGCCAGCAGACTACATGCTTACTCACTTAAAAATTTCCTCAGATGAAAAAGCCCAGAAAGCTCTAGAGCAGAATAGATCCACACAGCAGCTTGTGCTGAAGGTGAGGAAGATGAAGCAGCAGCAAGCCAGCATCCCTGCACAGCTCTGACAAATAAGCAACAGCAGATCTTGATCTCATTTTACCTTTACATGTCAGGCTAAGAGGTGCCAGTACAGGCACAGATTTATRTGCACACCACATGTCCCTGATTAGCACTATCTCTGAGAGGGCCAGGGGAGGCAGCTGGAGCTGGTAWCAGCTTCATTCATTCAATTTTAATTGACTGCTGTGTGTTTGTCAGATCCCTCAGAGCTGCCTTCCTTCTGTTAAACTTGTGCCAAAAGCCACACTGGTCCCATTAGCCACAGGGAACAAACAAGCAGGAAGTACCTGTCAGCTGCAGGTACAGAACAAGCTCTGTACTGAYGTCTGAATTACATTTTAGTTCCCATCTACCTTGAATTCCAAGACCATAGACCAACGAGCACCATTCAAGTTACAAACCCAGTGAAATTCACACAATTATGCATTAAAGGAGGCTTTAATTTAGAACCTTTTKGCTTAATTTTCATATTCTGTGTTTGGATTTAGTGTGCAGACGCCTCTTAGAGAACCCTAAGGAAATGCCCATATGTTTCAGCAAGACCAAGACTTGCTGATTACTGAACAACTATGACACAGTGTTTAAATGGTATGCAATCAATCAAAATATTCYGAAGAAAATGAAACAATGAGTTACAACAATATTCTATGCATTTTTTTACTTTCTGCAACARTAACAAATGACTTCAGTAAAAGCTTTAGTGAAGGTCTAGGCATGTATCCATGATGTCTYTTGTAAGTCTTTTTAAAGCACATATAAATAATTATTGATGATGAATAGTAGACAGCAACACTATTTAAAAAAGGGTTTATAACTCTTACCTCTGCTTTTATTTTATTGTCTCCAAAACAGAGGTGTTGTAAGTAGGCTGCAGCATTCGACTGTACTGAGGGAAATTGATGCTGTAACATCTGTATAACTTCTGGAAGCTCTGGATCCCGCCATCCAAACTCTCTGTGCAAAAGCAAATACAAAAGATTCATCAAAAATTCTGCTGTTAAGTGGATAAATGTGGCAACGGTTCAACAAAAAAGATAGAAATGTCTAAATAAAATATTTTCYCCCCATTATTATCAAAGCAAACATTAAAATCAAATATAAAGGTATTTTTCATTTTAAACTGTACTTCCCTGGAGAGAGAATAATAGAAATTAAAACTAGAAGAAGCAACTTTGTGGAATTAGTTCTTTAACTGATAAACTTCCCTAAATAAAAAGGCTATGTGAAATATTAATATAAGAAAAGAAAGAAAATACATGCTCATATCACCACAAATAGTTTGCTATGGAATGCTAATTTGTAAAAAAAGTCATTTTTACTTATTGTTAGTTCTATGTAATAACAACTGTTCTCTTATATAGAAAGCAATGACCAATTCTATCTTTTGTTTTGATTTTTTTTTTCAGATACAGTCAATGTAAAACTCTTACACATTTCTGGCCCTACTTGAGCACTCAGTCTTTGCACTTTACTTTAATCCTACAAAACMTGAAATGCCATTAGGATCACATAAAAGAACTGAATCCAAGGTTGTCAAACAAGTCCCAGTAGGTATTCTGCCACACCTGAACATAAAATCAATCTGTCCTTTCAGGTGAATTTTTCCACTCTTTGTTTAAGGGTAAAACCATTCACGAAAATGGCTGAGAACTTTGTGTCCCGAAAAACAGAGATCCATGCAGCCACTCTGCATGATAAACTTAGTTATTATATGCCTCTTCCCCAAGAGTTGTTGTTTTTTGTGCCATACAAATACTTGGACCATCTTCCATCTAGTGGTACATGTTTAAGCTAACAGAGGGAAATTAGGAAGAAGAGGGACCTCGTAAAAAAGTTCTCTGTTGCAGAGATACCATGTTACCATGATCACCTGCGATCCCATTGTCAAAAAAAAAACAACAAAAACCCAGAAGACCTGTTTCAGACCCCWGCTGTAATATTTGGAAAAACTAATCCTGACCATCAGTCTCCTTCCTCAGTTATAGGGACTCTTCTGCACTGAGGCCAAGTATACATCACTARGGGAATTCACAGAATCTCTGCAATCTGTTCCTAGCACACTTTAAATACAACAGTTCTCYGAGACATTTCAGGGAGGAAACTCATTTTACAATAATAATGAATTGCTACAGAACAGAGGGATTGTCTGTTCTCTTCTCATATGTGACATCTGCCACACTGAGAGTTGTCATTACAGCTGTATCTTTATGAAGATTCAGAATATGAGATGTAAAAAACACTCAAATTTCATTGGTTATTTAGCTTCTGACAAGTTAACTCATTATTATTAAAATTCACATAGAACATTTAATATAAAGAAATCATAAAGATGTAGAATTAAATCACATATGGACTCTTCCAATGAATTTTTAGATKATATGGTTTGCTGAGGCTTTCAGCCTCTATAAGAGACATCTGCATCGGTTCAAAAACATGTTAACATTTAATTGATATTTTGAWAAGTTAGAGAACACCATAAAAGGTATCAGGGAAGGCTACAAAATTCAGTAGCTGATCAATGAAAACTCATGAAAACATATTTCCATCCTACCAGGATTCTGTTAACAGGGGTAAGGGAAGGGATTCATTGGTTTAGTGCACATTTTTTTTTTCTGTTTAAATTGCCAGAGGTCACAGAAACAACGTTATCTGACAGGTTAGCTTCCTCTTTTTTTTTGCTTTCTTCCAATTAACAATGTTAACACTTCCTAACAGGTTCTTCAAACTCATTAGATCTGCCTTCTATATAAATGGCTCTAAACAAACCAAAGACATSTTCCAGATTTTTTGTTTAAATAAAATTAAGAAATGAAAGCAAAATCCACTAACCTTACTGAGGACAAATTAATTATCCTACCTCCACCTCTAATTTATTCTCCTTTTCTATCCTAGATGCCAAGTGCAGGTGTAGGCATTTTGGAGAAGATACAAAATACCAGAAAAAACCCAGCTTGTATGACAAGAGAACGAGGAGGAACATTTGAAATGWGTTGCTTTACAGCAAATAACTACATGTTGAAGTGTTGGAGCTTCTATCAACAAATTSTCTCCAAAAGGAAATTTCTTCCTTCACAACATATGTATTACTTAATTCAACCAAAAACCAAACCAACCAAAAACCAACTAAACAATGTAGTAGTACATTGTGGACTCTAACTATCAGGTCAAGTTCTTCTTCCTCATGTCCTGGAAACCAGGACAGAACATCCAGGCAGTGAGRGGGCAAAAGGAAAAAGGTCCCTTCCTCAAAGGAATAGTTTATTGTTTTGAGCAACCTGCAGTCTTTACATGGTATTTACGTACAGAAACCAGGCTTTCCCTACTTTTACCCTCTGAKCTCCAAAAAAAAMAAGTCAACATACAAGTGAGGTATGAATACTCACTGCAAATGGATGTGTGCACACTGGATGTAAGCAGAAAATCAATTCAGAAAAGAAACCCTTAACACTGAATACTGAGATTGTTACGTAACCAGTTTTTGGAGAAATAATGAACGAAGCACAAAAAGGAGTTTAGAAACTTAGCCCTAGTATGCACTGTCATTTTAAGCAGATGGTCTCTAAGATGATTGTATTTTTAGTAGTTTCTAAATGAAATACAGTAGCTATATAAAACAAACAAAAACTTCTGTCAACAGTTAGGGCTGCTTGAATAATTGTGATAATTTTAGCAGCCTTTAGGGCAAAAAAAAACCGGTTTCTAGGGGTTTAAATTTTTCATTTGTTTTATACAAGTCTTTTATAGGTGGAAAAGAAGTGAGAATGAGATAGAGGACTTTTTTAAGAACAGCAAATTTGCAGCTCTATTAACATTTATTTCAATTTTTTTTATATTTAGCTTAATTATGAAAAGTTAGAAAGGCTGCTAATGAAGTCATTTGGCAGAGGCCTGGAGAAGGAAGGAGGATTGGTGTTCATTAAAGAGAAAGGCGCAAAATGTATCTGGAACATTTTGCATAGATGTGGGGGAACATCCAGGCCATGCTTCCAAGCATACATACCTRAATAACAAAAAATATGTGTTAAATAGAAAGCAAAATAAAAAGTAAGAGAAAACAGCTAGTAGGAGAGAGCTGGAAGTAACTGACCTTTTACTGCCTACCAACAAAAAGCAGTAGGTTTGGTATTTGACAGAGGTAAGTGTCAGATTAAAGAAAAGCAGAAGGTTAATGAAAATTGAATCTACCTTGATTTCTGTGAAACATCTGGTATTTTGCCACATGGAATTTAGTCACTGGCAACATATGAGGATCTAATCCTTAGTAAAATTATAAAGTAGAATTAAGCAAAATTTGAAATAATAGTGAACATTCTAAACAAACACCAGCTAAGCCTGYGTCCCTTATTAAAACATCCCCATGCTTACAAAATCCGAGTGAGGCAATCCACACAGATGGTGAAACAAGCCAGAAGGCTGGAGTAAATCTGAGGAGGTGCGTGGCATTTTGAGAATGCTAACAAATTAGYTGTGTGGTTGATCCAAAAATGAAGAGTAAGGTAGTAGCTGTAAATGCAAGATCTTTTGCTAATCTGCCACTTGCCTATGATTTCCTTGGAATGAGAATGCTAATCCTTTTAGGTCAGCTAAAGACTTCTGGTGACACTATGAGCTTTTCCATAAGACAATCCCAGCTGTGCAAGAACTTCACAGTTTGTTTGGAAAGCAGCATTTGCGGTGAACTCCAAATATTTTGGCACTTTTTTGCAAAAGTGCATTTTTTTCTAGGAGGCATCCTCATCTGAGGAGACTGACCAGAATACACCAAGTTGTTCCAGCCTTCTTTCTACAATAAAAACTGTTCTCTAGAATTGTAGGATTGATCTCATTTTGAATCCTGAAGGAGGTTTTAGCTTGAAGTGGTGACTAAGGCAGATGTTTCATGGATTATGGCAGACTACTGCCTCAGGAGTGGAAGAGGACCCAAAGGGGAACACTAAGCTRTATGCAACCTGGCAATATATATGCCTAGAGTATGACAAAAGGCTACATTTTATTGTGAACGACTGAAGAGAATCAACAAGGAGTTGTACATGAGACACAACACTCTGACATAGAAGCAGCAGCACCTAGAAATCCAGGCTGACTTGGGCACTGCAAGRGATGTGCTGAAAACAGCTCCTGCTGCTGCTATCACATCACACACGTGTCAGAAAGTGAAAGAGATGCAGACTTTGAAGGGATTGTTTGTTACASAGCTGAGTGCCTTGGCTCTGCAGGTTCACTTTGTGGTGCTGCTACGCACAGAGGATGTACTGCATCTGAGTATTTGCTCTAAATATGCCAGAATTTTCTTCTTCAGCTACTGAAAATGCTGATGGTGACTAGTGTGCTGATGGYACACAGAAAAGCAAAACAAAAACTSCTGTTACATATATATCTGCACYGATTCTCAAAAGGCTAYTAAATGAGTTTTAAAAACACAGGTCTCCAGCTGGTAACTAAGGATACTGATTGCTTCTACAAAGCTTTGGAGAAGCAGGTGTGATGATGGCTCTGTCTACTCTCCAGCCATCGGTCACACTCAGTCTCACAAGAGTTTGGGTTCTTATTTCTGATTTACATTATTAGAGCAGAACATTCACATCTGATCAAGCAGTTGGCACAGGCAAGCACTGACACCCAGAGCTATTCCTGTCTCCGCAGCATTCCCCAAAGGCAGCGCTGTGAAGACGCCTGCTATGAAGAACCATATGCTTGACAAAGACTGAACTAGCACTGAGCATTCATCAAAGAAAGAGAATGTACTATTTTTTTTTTTTGTTTTTATTACAGGACTGTTTAAACCAAACTCGTCTGTCTGTTGCTGCCTGTCTTAACAGGCGTGTGACAGAATCTTAAACTGGTGAAGGAAAGGTTTTCATACATGGAAGTGGTGCTCAAAGGCAAAGGCAATTCAATCTGAGCTAAGGGTATATCCTCGGTTTTTACTTCATATACATTCTGGCATTGCTAAA